CCCTAAACCCCTAAACCCTCTAAAACCCCTAAACCCTGAAACCCAAAACCCTAAACCCTAAAACCCCAAAACCCAAAACCCTAAACCCTAAAACTCTATAATCACTATAAACCCCTCAACCCTTCAAGTGAGGATTCCGAACCTGACGACCATCCTCGGAGCTGCGACGCTGAGCTCACAAGGGGGCAGGGTCCCAAAGCCACCTCTCAGGTTTTAGGGTTTTGGGGTTTTAGGATTTGGGTTTTGGGTTTTGGGGTTTCAAGGTTTTAGGGTTTTGGGTTTGGGGGTTTTAAGGTTTTTAGGGTTTTGGGGCTTTTGGGGCTTTTCAGTGCGCCCGCAGAGGGGGGCAGAAAATCTGAAATACACCGATACATCGACCGGGGGGGCCCCGGGAGCGGTCGGTGGTCGGGCTTTTGGGGTTTTGGGGGTTTTGGGGGTTTTGGGGGTTTTAGGGTTTAGGGTTTTAAAGGGTTCCTTTGCAAGGGTTCCTGCAAGGGTTACAGAGGTACTACAGGGTTTTAGGGTTAAGGATTTAGGGCCCCTTTTGAACGGGTTCCTTTGGGGGATTTACAGGTTCCGTAAAATTTCTTGGAGAAGGGTTTCTTTAAGGGTTGCCATAACCGTACCATCGGGTTTTAGGTTTTCGAGTTTTAGGGCTTAGGGCTTCGGGTTCAGTTTTCCTACTAGGGCTCGAGAAGGGCTTTGGAAGGCTCTGGGAAGGCTTGAAGGTAACCTCAGTAGGGAGCTAGGCGTGACTCTCGGGCGTTTCCGCCTTGTTGAAAAAAGATGTCTCGGGTCCGAGGCTTCCTGCTTTTATGGTTTAGGGTTTAGGGTTTCGAGTTTAATTGCAAGTTCTACGGCTACGATGACTAGTCATGATGGCTTTCGGTACCATTGCTGCTATCAGTGTTAGCTCTGCTCCCGCTTGACCACCGCCGTTGACATCTGTGCTTCTGTTCCAGCACCAGTGTTCTACTGAGCTTGGGTCGCACAGCCAAGCCGATGCCACTCATCAAACAATTGTCTCTAGGACATTTTCCGGTGGGTAGTTACCGCTATAGGAGCCTTATGGAAGGCCTATATACCTTATAGAAGCCTTGTAGAAGCCCTATAAAAACCCTAAACTCCGCACCTGTAGCTGCCCTTTAACAAAGAGCCCTCAACCCTCAACCCTAAACCCTAACAAACTAGAGCCCTCAACCCCCACCCCAAACCCTAAACCCTAAACCCCTAAACCCCTAAATCCTAAACCCTTCACCCTAAACCCTAAACCAAACCCTAACAAAGAGCCCTCAACCCTCAACGCCTGGAAAGCCCGAAGTCTGAGCCCTTACCGATCGACCCCCGGTGCTCCAGCTTAGGGTTTAGGGTTTAGGGTTTAGGGTTTAGGGTTTAGGGTTTAGGGTTTAGGGCACAGGGGAGGAAGAGCAGGAGCTGTTATAAACTCCTTATTGTGATCTATACTATAATATACCCCAAACCCTATTCTAATTATTAAGCGAGAGCTGAGAGAAAGAAAGGCCTGAAAATGGATCTTAAGCGCGAAACCTGAAACCGTCATCCCTGAACGCTGAACCCTAAACCCTAGACCCTAAACCCTAAACTCTGACCGCGCGTGCAAGCTCATCCGGTCGAGGATGATGCTGCTGGCGGTGGTGACAGTGGCCGTGGCAAGGCCCCACTTTCAACGAAAGCAGTGATTAGGGTTTAGGGTTTAGAGTTTAGGAGTGAGCTCATTTTACAGCTTTGGGGTGGGTGTAGGGTTTAGGGTTAGGAACTAGGCCCTACATAGGGTTTAGGGTATAGGGTTCTAGAGGCAGCGCCGGCGCGTTGGGCTTTTCAAGACGAGTTTGTGTTGGAGGGCTTCAGGTTTACAGGGTTTGAAATTTAGAAAGTTTAGGATTTATGGTGAAGGGCCTGCAATCGGATTCTACAAGGCTTCTGTAAGGGAATATGGGTTTCACAAGGGGTTACTGTAAGGGAATATGGGTTTCACAAGGGGTTAAGGCTAACCCTAAACCCTAAACCCTAAACCCTAAACCCTAAACCCTAAACCCTAAACCCTAAACCACAAGGTTTGTTGGAAATAGGTCTTCCATGAAAGTTGCTGAGTCGGGATAACATAGGGCATGTCACCGAGCTAGACATTTACTGGTAAGATGCCTCCGTCGATCCTAAACCCCCAGCCCTTCCAGATCCCTTAGAAAGATCCCTAAACCCTAAACCCTCAAACCCCAAACCCCAAACCCGTCTAGATCCCTAATTAACCCTAAACCCTAAACCCTAAACCCTTGACCCTAAACTCAAAGCCCTAACACCCTGAAGCCTTGACTCTAGACCCCAAATCCTAAGAACCCTAACATAGGGGCCTGAATAATTACCTATACTAGTTTTGGGGGGTGTCTCATTATAATTATAGTATAGTATACCCCAAAACCCTATTCTAACTATCAAGGCCACTACGTTAAATGGCTCTGAAGAGGTTGCCGCCCCGAAGTTCGGTGCCGAATGCCGCAGAACACGAGCCGGATCAAACGAGCAGAGCCTTGGCGCACCTGGCAGTTTTCCCTGGACCCCAGACCCTGTGGGTCTTAGGTTTCGGGTTTAGGGCTTAGGCCTTAAGGTTTAGGGCTTCCGGTTGCCTTAGGGCTTGGGGTTTCGGGTTTAAGGCTTACGGTAGGGTTTAGGCCTTTGGGCTTGGGGTTTCGGGTTTAGGGCTTCGGGTTTCGGGATCTTCCATGTTGGGGAGTGTAGGCTAGAGTCGGAGGTTTTTCGGGTTTAGGATTATAATGGTGCAGCAGCAGCATGCCTCAGGCAAAAGGTCAGATTCGAGGGAGGAGTCACCCCTGGATTTCTCGGCACGTAATCCTCAGACAAGCTACTCCTTCAACCGTCACCATTAGAACAGTCACGGCAACGTGGCACCGGAATTGCTTACCATAGCTCCGGGCACGTGCAAAAGCAGGCACACGTCACAGGAGAGCAAAGCCTTTGGAGCCCTCAGCAGCTTGCCCAGAGAGCCCAACACCCCTTAATTAAGGATATACCTTAAATCATAATATAAAGCCCCTTACGAGAGAAGGTATATTCCGTAATTAAGGCGTATTGGGCTCTATGGGTGCTCCGAAGCCCTGAGATCCCAACTGAGGATCCACGACTAGCGTTAGCTCGCAAGAAAGCCTGGTCAGCTTCGTCGCATCTGAGTTCGCAGAGCAGCAGGCCTTGCCGACGCGATGCTTCTGTCCGCCAATGCAAAAGCAGGCTAGCCCAAACTCCGAATTATTGATACCCTTATGGTAACCCTTGCCGTATCGATGCCATACATCAAACCCCCAACAAGAACCCTGTTATTGTTGAGGTGCCAGTATCATCCCCATCGGAATCCACCGATCTCGCAATGCAGGGCCCAGAAATTTGAATTCAATGTGTCCACGATCAGCGATCCAGCGGGAGAAGATTTTGGATGCCCCCCAGAAAACCATGTCCTGGGCAAGATGTCAGGGCAGTTCCCCATTCTTCTGCCTCGTCAAGAACAAAGCTTCGCGGCTGTAGCTCTCCAAGCGTGTTTCGCACTCGCCATAAAGAAGAGCTGATGTCTTCACTTGCTAATTCCTCCCACGGGCCTGTCGGCTTTTACCATGCTGCTCGCCTCTCCTCCTCCCCCTCCCCTAAACCCTAAACCCTAATCCCTAAACCCTCCACCTTGCCGATTGATGCGCTGGATCGCCCAAATTTTAAAGCCTAAACCCTAAAACCTAAACCCTAACTAAACCCTAAACCCTAAACCCTAAACCCCCAACTTGC